TGAATTTGATTCAGGTTTTGCTATTTTCCCAAAAATACATAATAAATACACTGTATACTTCTTATTACATCCCATCATGAGCTGATAGTGTTTGTGTATGTCTTTGTTGGTAGTGGGGGGCAGTGGTGAATGTGACTGGTGGGGACAGTGCTTATCAGTGGTCACTCAGCATTCAGTGTGATGTAATTCAACAGAAGCAGTGATCACAGCTTGAGTGAATCCTGGTTCTCATTCTCTTTTGCATTTGACACCATTAAGCCTCTTCCCACCTTCTCTTGATTTAGTCATGTGACCTCGGGTTTTCATTTGTTTGTTCTTGTTTCTTAATAGTTACCTTTGTTTCCTTGAACTCTTACTCTTCTTACTGATTTGTATGAAGCCTCTGATTCTAGAGATAGTAATGACTATACTCCCTTAAGTAACTTACTCTGATGGTAACTTTCAGATCTACATTTTGAGCCTTAAATCTCACACAGACCCTTTTAAAGACATGTCCCGAATTGTAAACACTCATCTGCCCCCCGACAAACACTGGGGCTGCTGTAACCTGAACTTTCTTCTCCCATTTGCTCCAGCAGCAATCAAGCTGGTGCTGTCATCTGGTGGTCACCATGGGAAACCAGCTGACCCTACTGGCTCTTCCCCGGCTCATCTTTTTTCTTTGCCCGGGTTTGAGGAAACTTCCTCAGAGCCCAGTCCTTCCACCCTACTTCCATTTTCCTTTATCTTCATTCCTGATGATTTAGTTCATTCCACTTCAGGCAATCCTTTGTATGTGGGAAGCTTCTTAGGTAGTTCTTCCTTCTTCCTGTCTTATCATTTACCTCAGGAAAATAGTCCTTTCTTCCATCTACCTCTTTTCCCGTTCATTTGTGTTTGGGAGCCTTTCGGAATTCAGTCATGGTTCATAAACACCAGGTGAGGCTACTGAGGCAGCCAGCTGTGTGGAGTAAGAGAAAAGGTGCAAGTGTGCAAAGAGTCATTTCTAGAGTTTATAAAGAACCGAATCATGAACCTAAATCCTGTTGAAAGGACCTAGACCCCTTTGAGTCTTCTGAAAAGGCCCCATCTCCTTCCTCAGTCTCTTCTGGTCAAATTGCTTTCTTCAGGGAGCCGCCTTCGAGACAGAAGGGTCATTTTACATCATATGGAGCTTATTTGCCTTTTGTTTTACCATTGCCTGCAAAGGAAACGGCACATAGTAAGTTTTTGTGCACTAGGCACTGTGCTAAATTACTTTAAAAATATACTGTCCTGGTTTTTAAACCCTCTCAACAGTCTTGCAAAATAAGGTATGATTCTTGTTGTATAAAAAAAGAAACCGGCTGGGTTGGTGAAGAAACTTGTCTGAGGTCACATTGTCAATAACAGCTTGGGCCCTGGATTCCAGCCAGTGTCAGAGTTGACTCCAAGTGTGTGTCTTTCACTGGTGCATCCTGCCTCCTCTTACTGTTGTAATACGTCATTTCTTCATTATTTCATTAAACATACGGTTTTCTGTATTTCACTCTTAGATTAAATCAGCTTTTTCAGACCAGCCTAGGTGTATAGTCAGGACCTTTGCCATTACTCCTGTGGGAAGACACATGTTAACATCCATTTAGTAGATTAAAAATGAACTTTCAAAACCCAAACTCGAGATCACCTTATCTAAGGGTTGGTTCAGTCCCTGTTCGTTTTCCTCTCTTCTGACGTTTTAGTTCTTGTCTCAGCCTCCCCGTGTGTCAGTGGTACTGCTGTTTTGGTGTTTCTCAAAGCTAGAAGCCTTAGAGTCCTAATCATCTGAGCTGGCTTCTTTGTGAACTGTATAAATAGTCTGTCACTGAAGTGCATCATTTCTTCATTTAAATATGCATTCAGTTCTGTCCCCTAATATTCCATCTCCCCCATGATCCCACCAGGCTCTAGATACACTCCATTGCCCACCCTCCTGGCTCTTTCCCTTTCCTTCTTTCTCATCTTTCTTCTGCTCTGCTATTGTGTAGACTCAGCAAAGTCACTGTCTCTGAACTACAGTTCTTATCTCTGTAATGGGGTTACTGGATTTCCATGCAAAAATAAGGCATGGATTTTATTTTGGGCAAATTGTGTGGTCCTTTGGCATGTTAGTTCCCACATATGTGGGCATCATTTATATGGGCTCGTTCCTTGTAATCATCCACGATTCATCTTGAGAACAGGGGGCTTATTGTGAAGCCCAAAAGGATATGTATGTAAAAGAACTTTGAAAAGTATGAGACCAGCTGAAGATACAGGTAAATATGTACAAGCATAAGGTAGCAATCCATTATAGTCGTGTGATTCAGAATTTGATAGTGAAAAGTGATGATCTTTGAAGAAGTAAATCATAAATGTTCTATAATCCAACTTGAACATTCTGTTTTTCAGACAATGGTACATGGACTCAGCTCTGGCTGGTGTCAGATTATCATGAGCATGGATCTCTTTTTGATTACTTGAATAGATACACAGTTACTGTGGAAGGAATGATAAAACTTGCCCTGTCCACAGCAAGCGGTCTCGCCCATCTTCACATGGAGATTGTTGGTACCCAAGGTAATTGTTTAAGCAGTCCTATTACTTAAGCATTTAAGTTAGAGGGGTTCTGACTCACAGCAACCCCTCGTTGGGTTTCTGAGGTGTTATCTCTATGGAAGTACATTGCCCAGTTTGCCTTCTGAGGAGTGGCTGGTGAGATTGAACTGCCAGCCTTCTGGTTAGCTGTCAAATGCTTTAGGCACTAAGCCACCAGAGATCCCATTACTTAAGCATTAGAATCATGTATATATCTGTTGTGGTAGTTAAGTTCGTGTGTCAACTTAGCTAGGCCTGGTTGAGTAGCTGGACAGCTGGATGTAGTTATTCCCCATGGTAAGATTGGTAATTAACTCCATGGTGGAATGTATTGGAGCAGTTGAGTAGCTGCTTTTGGGATGTGGTCTGCTTCCTGTATATAAGAAGCAACTTTGGGACTAGTCTCTATCTTATGGCACGCTTGGACCCTGCATGTAGCCATGTTCAGCAACCTGCCTTGCTCTGTTGACCTTGGGACTTGAATTAATGTAGTTTGGTAACATTGAGATTGTGCCTTTTTACTTGTCAACCTTGGGCTTGTCAGCCTCAGCAACCAGCAGCTGTCTCAGTGAAGAAATGCCTCTAGCTCCAGTGGGCCAGGAGCAGGAGGCAGAGCTGATGCCCAAGCTTAAGGGTCTTTCACCCAGCCCCTAGAGCCTGGCGCTTTGAATTTGCACTTCTAGCCTCCTGAACTGTAAGAGAATAAACTCCTGTTTGTTCAGGCCATTCCATTTGTGGGTATATTCTGTCAGAGTGGCACTAGGTAACTAGAAAGGGCATGGGGAAAGCATCCTCCGACCTCCTCTCACTTCGTGAGGGGGAAAGAGGGGCTAAGCAACATCAACAGCCTGAGGCTGATTCCTGTATGGTGGAGGTCAGATTGTCACCACCCTCCAGCCTTTCTACTGATTCTGATACCGACAGTCCCTCCCACAGCACTCACTACTTCTCTACTGGGTTCAATAATTCATTGCAGTGGCCACATACAAGTCACAAACGATACTCAGGATTATGGAGTTTATTAGGGAAGTAACAGGTTGCAATTCAGGTTCAGAAATGTGCTCAGAATATAATTCTTCAATCAGGACAGCCTCCTCTTGGCCATGCCCCAGGCACACCTCTCTTTGACCCTCGGTTTCTCGGCCTGACTTCTGTCCTCCTCAGGCAAGTGTTACCAAAGTTCTTCTAGCTCTGTTGATAGGGGCACCTAGGCGCACCCCACTCCACCAGCAAGCCTCTTGCCTAAAGGTACTCAGCCTTCTTGCAAGCTGCCTCTGTCTCGTGCCAGTCTCTAGGTTCTGCTGCTGTCTCTCTCAGTGAAGGGATCTCTGGTCCAAGGACGCACTTCGCTCCTCGCTCTTCTTTTGTCTTGGTGGTAGTGAGATTCCCTCTTTGATCCTCTGGAATGTCTCATTTGAAGCCTAGCTGATGGCAAAGGTAACCCATCCCCGTGTTACGGTTCCATACACCTTAAACTTCCGTGGTCCCAGCCCCACGAGAGTGCTGTGTATCTTATGTATTAACAAGCTGTCTAGTCCCCTTGGTGGGTAACAAGCAGCTCACATTTGCATAGTTCCTCCTTGGAATGTATGTGTTCCATTGTATGGAGAGTACTACATTTGGATATTAGGTGATTTCCCTGTTGTTTTGTTTTTTAAAGCTGTTAATACTGTATGAACATTTGGGTATAAGTTTTTATGTGAGCATAAGTTTTTCATTCTCTTAGGTATATACCTAGGAGTAGAATTGCTGGATCACATGATGACTCTGTGTTTAATCATTTGAGAAACTGCCAGGCTATTTTCTGCAAGTGATTATACCATTTTACATTTCTATCTTTGTATGAAGATTTTAATTTTTCTACATTATTGATTGTTTTTTGATAGTACTTTTCCTAATAGGAAGGAGCTCTCATTTGTCTGTACATAGATTTGCTGGTGGTGTAGTGGTTAAGGCATTTGGCTGCTAACCTCTGTGGAAGGAAGATGAGGCAGTCTACTTCTGTAAAGATTCACAGCCTTGGGAACCCTGTGGGTCGCTGTGAGTCAGGACTGACTGGATGGCAGTGTGTTTGGTTTGGTTTTCCGAATGGTGAGTATTAAAGGCGGTACATTTAATACTGGAAACGTTCCAGTTGGATAGAAAAGGGCAGTGATACAGGTACTCGGGCTTCTGGGCTGGAAGTTTGAGACTTTGACGAGGGTTCCCAAGTCTTTAACTCCTTAGACTGAAGATTTTTGAGCAAATTCTTTTATAGAACTTATTATCTCCCTTTTCTTGAAGGAAAGGTAGGATCAGTGATTTTAGTTGAAGTGTTTCACTTGAGGTTGAGTTTGGTGATTGCCTAGGTGTTGCAGGTGATGTGGGATGGAATGCTCTGATACTGGGATGAGAAGAGAAGCTTTGGAACTTGAAGGTGAGCATTGTGCTTGGTATATTACCTTTAACCAATCATATGTAATTTTTGTTTCTTTAGGAAAACCAGCCATTGCTCATAGAGATTTGAAATCAAAGAATATCTTGGTGAAGAAGAATGGAACTTGCTGCATTGCAGACTTGGGTCTGGCAGTAAGACATGATTCAGCCACTGATACAATTGACATTGCTCCGAACCACAGGGTGGGAACAAAAAGGTAGACTAGTTAATAAATAGTTCCTCATACCTTCTGAATAAATGTCTTTTCTTCTTCTCATTTGTCTGTACATAGATTTGCTGAGATTCAAATGTGTCCCTGATTAGATTGCCCACAGGTGGAAGATATGCTGGTCTTGCCTACTCTGAAGCCACAGTTACCTGGCTTAAAGATGCTGGCTGATGAAAAGTGTCCCTTCCAGAAAATATTATTGTTGGTTACAGTCATTGTAATAGCAATAGTACTTGATGTGTATAGGGTACCTACTGTACCAAGCATTTTAATAGGGCTTTTTTTTATGCATGTGATCTCATTGAATGCCCTAGTCAGATGCTGTGTTGTAGCTAGCCCAGCTGTGTCCACTTCTTGGAAACATGCATGTTTTCTTTCCTAGAGTCTTTTGCATGTGCTGTGCCATCAGCATAGTTCTCTATGTTGCCCTAACTTGTACTCACCTTCCTTTCATTACAATGCCTGGTCCATGGTAGGTCCTCAGTAAATAGCAGTCAATTCCATGAATCCTTAAAAGAGCCTGACTAGGTAGGTTTCATTACCACTAATTCACAGATGATAAAACTGCCTTGTGGGAAGTTAAATAATGTGTCCAGTATCACATGGATGGAAAATTGATGAGCTTAGATTTGAACCTGGGCCTTTCCGACTTA